TGATGGGCCAAGGCCCATTGTATTTGGTTCAACAATGCCAAGTGTCAGGTCCTGCACTTGGAGTCACAATAACTCCTTGCAATGCTACAGGCTTGAGGAAGAGTGGCTGGAAAACTGCCTGGTGGAACTGGACCTGGGGGTGTTGGTCAACAGCTGGCTGAATGTGAACCAACAGTGTGCCCAGGTGGCCAAGGCCAGTGGCATCCTGGCTTGTATCAGACAGTGTGACCAACTGGACTAGGGAAGCGATCATTCCCCTGTACTCAGCACTAGCAAGGCCACACCTCAAATCCTGTGTTCAGTTTTGGGCCCCTCATTACAAGAAATACATGGAGGTGCTGGAGCATGTCCAGAGAAGGACAATGAAGCTGGTGAAGGGTCTGGAGCACAAATCTTATGAGGAGAGGCTGAGAGAGCTGGGGGTGTTTAGCCTGAAGAAAAGGAGGCTCAAGGGAGACCTTATTGCTCTCTACAACTACTTGAAAGGAAGTTGCAACAAGGAGAGTGTTGGTCTCTTTTCCCTAGTAACAGTAACAATTGATAGGATGAGAAGAAATGACCTCAAGTTCTGTCAGAGGAGGTTTAAATTGGATATTAGAAAAAAATTCTTCATGGAAAGAGTTGTCAAGCATTGAGAGAGGCTTCCCAGGGAAGCAGTTGAGTCACCATCCCTGGAGATATTTAAAAGATGTGTAGATGTGGAACTTAGGGACATGGTTTAATGGTGGACTGGGCAGTGCTAGGTTAATGGTTGGACTCAATGATCCTCAAGCACCACAGCAAGCACTGGAGCCTATCAATTAATAGCTAAACAGCAATAACAGCTATAAATTTGACCTAGCTCATCCTAGTCAATCTGCCATTATCACAAACCCTTCAAGCCCCACATGTGGTGCCAAAAAGGACTGTCATGGTTTAACCCTAGCAAGGAAGCACCACACAGCTGCTCACTCACTTCCCCCTGGAATGGGGGATTCAACCAGAAGGGTAAAAGTGAGAAAACTCATGGGTTGAGACAGTTTAATAGGGAAAGAAAAGCCATGCACACAAGCAAAGCAAAACAGGGAATTTGTTCACCATTTCCCATGGGCAGGCTGATGTTAAGCTATCCCCAGGAAAGCAGGACTCCATTATGAGTAATGGAGACTTGGGAATACAGAACACCATCATTCTGAATGTCCCCTCTTTCTCCTTCTTCCCCCAGCTTTATCTGCTGAGCATGATGTCATACGGTATGAAATATTCCTTTGGTCAGTTGGGGTCAGCTGTCCTGGCTTTGTCCCGTCCCAACTTCTTGTGCACTTCCACTGGTGGGGCGGTACTAGAAGCAGAAAAGGCCTTGACTCTGTGTAAGCACTACTCAGCAATGACAAATATATCCGTGAATTATCAACACTGGATCACAAATCCAAAACATAGCTTCATACTAGCTACTATGAAGGAAATTAACTACCACAGCCAAAACCAACACAGGTCCCTAGCTGGAAAGCATCAGATGATATTTAAAACTTTTCAGTTAGAGGAGGAATTACTTGTATGGTACACCATAGATAATGCAGGGAAAATCAAAGAACCCCATAGGCAAAGGAGCAAAAGAAAATGTGACAAGGATGTTAAAATAGGACTACCTCACAGCTATTATTTCCATGAATTTACCATTTAAATGCCTATATTATAGAACTTAGATTTTAAGTCTTTTAATAAAAGGATGAAAGGAAACAGTCTTGCTATCATGAAAATGTGTTGTGTTTTTCTGGGGAGGGTGTTTTCTCTTTCCCCTACTAGAACAGATGTTTTAAAAGTCAAATTTTGGTATAGCCTGAAATACTTTCTCTTGCAGCTTGGTTAGCAATGATAACTTGCAGTGATTATTTCTAGAAAATGTATGTGATGACTTAAACTGTATATCTTTTCCTTTTCAACCTCAAGAAAGATTAAACCACTTCTGGCATGCTGTTGATAGAAGTTGTTGGAGTAAGAGATTGCTTGTCTTTCAAGTTCTTAAAAGAATGTGAACTTTCTCAAGCTGATTATGATTGGCTTTACCCTATAATAGCTTTTAGCGGATCAAGAAAATATCATCTGAGCTCCTAGAAATGTGTATGAAACATATATCTTGTATGTTTTTTCCTATAAACTTTAAAAACTCAAACAATTAGATTTTTAAAGCTATGGCAAACAAGTTCTCTGAACTTAGAGTGATACTGACAGATGTTGTAGTGTAAGGAGTTCCAGAGTAGCTTTGGTTTTTTAGGTTTGGGTTGGGGTTTTTGCTACGTCAATAATTTTCCTTAAAGAAAGGTGAAAAGGTATTAGACTGCGTAGCATTTTAAACACTTGGAAAAGCAACCGAAGTCTGTCATGATGCAATGTGGAATGTTTATGCATGTACTAAAATTGGGAAAAAAACTACCAAAAGAAAAACCCTTTACATTTTAAATTTATTTTTTCTAAATTCTGTATTGTTTTGAACTGGTTTATACTTTGTTTCAGGGCAGCAGGCTTGAGAAATATTGACCTGTTCAATTGTGCTCACTTGTTACACTCTTTTGTGGGATCTGTAAGTTGGTAGGATGTTTTTTAAAAACTGTATCTGTTTCTTCTACAGACTGCACTGACACTACTAAGGGGGGTGGTGTGTTAGGGGAAGGTTGAAGAGGGTATTAATACCAATGTCAAAATAAACTGTTCTCGTGGAGCATCACTCACCAGCAGGCAAATGTATTGTTTGAGGACCAAAACTGTGTTTTCCAGGTGCTTGGCTTCAGATGTGATTGCTCATAATGCTGCTTTGTACCGTTTTTTGAATTGTGTGAAAATTGTGGAAATTGAAAATTAATGTAGTAGCATTTAAAGTGAAATTTTGAAATTGCTTCTTCTTTAGTTCCCCCCCTATTTGTAAGAAGATGATAGATGTAAGGGGGATTTTTTAAACACATACATGTGTGTAACTGTGTACCTTTTCTTAAATAACTCATTCCTTCCTTCTAGCGTTAGCATCTGAATTACTGGGGTTTAATCTGAATAACTACTCATGCAGTAGAGGATCATAAGTAATCTCCTGACAGGGAATAGAGATTTATATTAATTTTTAATAACTAAGGGTTGCTTAATGTAACTGTATTTGGGACTAAAGAAAACTGCTCTCCATTACTGTTTTTTACCCCTTAGCATGCCAGTAATTTTGTGTTTGTAGTAAAATGTGGGGAGGCTGGGGGAGGAGAATTCTGGTTTTCTTTCATGAATACGTTAGCTAAAATACTGTGGCAAAAAAAATTGGCTACAATTAAGTCCTGAGACAGGGTGAATCTGGGCCCTGCTTAGGTGATACTAAGAAGTAATGGCTATGTTAAATTTTTACTAGGTCAGCACTAGACAAGTGAAACAAAAATAAAAAGCCAAGTACATATATATCCCAGTGAAGTTACACCTACATAAGCAAAGTGCTAGAAAGAGATGCTCTCTGATCGTGAATTGACATGGTGTAGCTGATTGTTTTCATTGTGAAAAATTTTCTTCTTGTATCCAATCAGAATCTCCCCAGGAGTAACTTGTACCCATTACCCCCCCTCCTCTTTTCCATATAAAAAGGGAGTCTCTATTTTCTTTGTCACCACCCTTTAAATACTGGTGATAAGGTCTCCCTCTAAGCCTTCTTTTCTCAAAGCTAAGTTCTCTCAGCCTTTCCTCATATGGCAGGATTCACAGTTCTTTGATGATCTTTGTGGCCCTTCTCTAGACCCTCTCCAGCCTATCCACATCTTTTTCGTATAGCAAGGACCAAAACAACACAGTATTCCAGGTGTGGCCTCACAAGGTGCTGAGTAGAGTGGGATAATGACTTCTTTATCTCTGATGGTGATGCTCTTGATGCAACCCAGCATCCTGCTGGCTCTCTGCCAAAGCAGCTCACTATTCATTCATAGTGAACTCATTGTCCACCAGGACCCCCAGGTCCCTTTCCACAGAGCTGCTCCCCAGCCAGGTAGATCCCAACCTGTGCTGCGCTCCTGGATTATGTTTTCCCAGGTGCAAGAGCCAGAGTTAGGGGTGAAATCAGCATCCCAGCTGAAGTGCATGTATGGTAATGCACGCAATATGGGTAACAAACAAGAGGAGCTGGAAGCCATCATGCAGCAGGAAAGCTATGATGTAGTCGCCATCACAGAAATGTGGTGGGATGACTCACATGACTGGAGTGCCGCAATGGATGGCTACAAGCTCTTCAGAAGGGACAGGCAAGGTAGGAGAGGTGGAGGGGTGGCTCTGTATATTAGAGGGTCTCTTGACTCTGTAGAACTCGAGGTTAGTGACAATAAGGTTGAGTGCCTATGGGTAAGAATCGGGGAAGGCCAACAAGGCTGACATCCTAATGGGAGTCTGTTATAGACCACCCAACCAGGATAAAGAAGTGGATGAATTATTCTATAAGCAGCTGGTGGATGTTTCAAAATTGCCAGTCCTTGTTCTTGTGGGAGACTTTAACCTGCCAGATGTCTGCTGGGAACTCAACACAGCAGAGAAGAGGCAGTCTAGGAGGTTCTAGGAGTAATCACAGTGGGGTTGGATCAAGGGTTGGACTTGATGATCTCGGAGGTCTCTTCCAACCCAGTTAATTCTGTTTCTATGATTCTTGGAGTGTATGGAGGATAGCTTCTTGTCACAGCTGGTGAGCGAGCCTACCAGGGGTGGGACCCCACTAGACCTGCTGGTTACAAACACAGAAGGGCTGGTGGGAGATGTGGTGGTTGGAGGCTGTTGTTGTTTGTGAGGGCGACCAAAATAATAAAACTGGGCACTCTATGATGATGGCCTAAATTCAGCTTTTATTCTCTTCATCCAGAATATTACATCTTGTCTTCACACAGCTGCACTCACACACCGTCTGTAGAATCTTACATACTAACACTATTCTTAGCTCTGTTATCTGTAATTTACCACTAACCTTCACATATGATTGGATGTTCACCTCTTATTTACATTCTTTTCCATGCTGCCAGGCTGCACGGCCTTGCTGCATCCTCCGACAGGAGGCTGTCTGGGGTACAGTGACCATGAAATGATGGAGTTCTCAATACTTCGTGAAGCAAGGAGGGGTATCAGCAAAACCTCTACCCTGGACTTTCGGAGGGCAGACTTCAGCCTATTCAGGATGCTGATTGGGAGAGTACCTTGGGAAATAGCCCTTAAAAACAAAGGGATCCAGGAAGGATGGACATATTTCAAGAAGGAAATCTTGAAGGTGCAGGAACAGGATGTCTCTATGTGCCAAAAGGTGAGCCAGAGAGGAAGATGACCGGCCTGGCTGAACAGGGAACTTTTGCAGGAACTTAGGGGAAAAAAGAGAGTTATTCACCTTTGGAAAAAAGGGCAGGCAACTCATGAAGTGTTTAAGAATGTCGTTAGGTCATGCAGAAAGAAAATTAGAGAGGTAAAAGCACAATTTGAACTTAATCTGGCCACTTCTGGTAAGGATAACAAAGTGTTTTTATAAATACATTAATAGCAAAAGGAGGGGCAAGGAAAACTTCCATTCTTTGTTGGACATGGGAGTGGGAGAGGGGGAACATAGTTACCAAAAATGAGGAAAAGGCTGAGGTACTTAGCACCTTCTTTGCCTCTGTTTTCAACAAGACAGGTTGTCCTCAGGACAACTGACCTCCTGAGCTGGTAGGTAGGGACTGGGAGCTGAATAGCACCCCTGTAATCCAAGAGGAAGCAATTAGTGACACGCTGAGCCACTTGCATCCTCACAAGTCTATGGGACCGGATGGGATCCATCCTAGGGTGATGAGGGAGCTGGCAGAAGAGCTTGCTAAGCTGCTCTCCATCATTTATCAACAGTCCTGGCTAACCAGGGAGGTCCCTGGAAGTTGACCAGTGTGATGCCCATCCACAAGAAGGGCCAGAAGGAAGATCTGGGAAACTACAGACCTGTCAGCCTGGCCTCAGTGCCCAGCAAGATTATGGAGCAGATCATCTTGAGTGCGATCACACAGCACCTATAGGACACATGGGGGATCAGACCCAGCCAGCAGGGATTTAGGAGGGGCAAGTCCTGCCTGATCAACCCGATCTCCTTTTAAGACCAGGTAACCCACCTAGTGGATGAGGGGAAGGCTGCGGATGTAGTCTATCTGGACTTCAGCAAAGCCTTTGACACTGTCTCCCATGACATACTCCTGGAAAAGCTGTCGGCCCATGGCCCATGGCTTAGACAGGTGCACTCTTCACTGGGTTAAGAACTGGCTGGATGGCCGGGCCCAGAGAGTGGTGGTGAATGGTTCTGCATCCAGTTGGCAGCCAGTGACTAATCATGTTCCCCAGGGATCAATATTGGGCCCAGTCCTGTTTAATATCTTTATTGATGATCTGGATGAGGGAATCGAGTCTACCCTTAACAAATTTGCAGATGACACCAAGTTGGGGGGGAGTGTAGGAGGGTAGGAGGGCTCTGCAGAGGGACCTGGACAGGCTGGATCGATGGGCTGAAACCAATGGTATGAGGTTCAACAAGACCAAGTGCCGGGTCCTGCACTTTGGCCACAATAACCCCATGCAACACTACAGGCTGGGGACAGAGTGTCTGGACAGCGGACAGGTAGAAAGGGACCTTGGGGTTCTGATTGACAGGAAGCTGAACATGAACCAGTGGTGTGCCTGGGTGGCCAAGAAGGCCAATGACATCCTGGAAGGCCATCTACCCTTACAGCAGGAAACACTGATGCTTTTATATCAACACCTTTCACATGCGCATAACTTTATGTCCTGCCTGTCTTCCAGCAGGGGCCCATAGGCATGTCTGTGAGAATCTTATCTCTTCTTGTAGCAGGGGAGTTACTTCTCTACAGACAGGGAGAACATACCCAGCACCATGTGTGAGAAAGAACTCTTTTCCATGCTAGGTCTTCCCTGGCAGCCAAGGTTTCCTTGATCAAATGTTTACTTTTCCCTCCTTGCAACTTTTCCAAAAACCTTTGCCCCTGACAGTAGCAAAGTATAGTAGTCTGTGCTCCTGACAATTTGTGGCACCCTCTCTGCAACATCTCAGACCTTAGCTCCCAGAATGCTGCATACCTCTCATGACTCTCTGTCAGGTTGGCAGATGGGTGTCTCATTGCCCCTTAACAGAGGGTCACCCACTGTTAAAGAAGTTTCTCCACCCTAGGTGTACTGTAGCAGAGTTTCAGGTTTTAAGTCCAATAAGGTAATTTATTTGAGTGCTACAGTGGTAGAAACAGCTTGAACTGGGTACCTCCACAGAGGAACCCTGAACAAAGAAAACCCTGGGTAATTATACCTTTATGATTTAAATTCCTCACCCCTCTCATGACAGTTCTGACCAGTACTAATATTAAGGTCTGGGGTCTTCCCATTCCTCACTGGGTCCCTTCATTTTTTCTGTGCTGGCTCTTTCTTATCTCTAAGGTTCCAGCTTCTGCTTGATGCCAAAAACAGCATAAAATAACTGCTCAGAGACAGTTTTGGGTCCTTAAGCAGCAAAGGTATTTATTTAGAGCAACATTGGGGTGCTAGCCAGCTCGCGCTGGACAAACTAACTCCAAAGTTCTCAGTGAAAAGTCAGGTAATTTATACAGTTTTGGTGAGAGATTACAATATTTTACATGAATATTTATTAAAATTACATCATCTAGTTATAATATTCATATTAGATGGGGTTCAGGCAGAGTTTGAGGTGGAGTCATCCTTTTGGGTAGATTCCTGGGGGTCGTTCCTGTTTCTTTGGCCTCGTGAGGGTTGTTTTCTCTGTTCCTCATTGTCCTGAACTTTTCAACTCTTCCTGACTATGTGCGAAAGTCTTACAAAAAACCCCTTTACTCAGCCCTTTACCCCCCAAATGTCCATCCTATCTAAATTATGACTACTAGGCCAACCTTTTTGTTATCTTTCATTAGGATAGAGCATACCAGGCGCAAGCAGGCCTCTCACAGGCCTCTCGCAGCCTTCTCTTTCTTAACTAATCTCATAACACATGCTCTCTGTCTCTATCATTTGAACCTAAATGCAGCATTCCTCAAAGTGGGATCTGTGAGCCTCTCCTCAGAGCAGGATTCTAGCATCTAAAAATCCTTGCTCTGTTTCATGTTCATTAGAACCAGCTCTGGGGCCTCCTTTTATTGAACTAGGTAGAAGTTCAGCATATCTAGGTGAAAATTCACAACTTGCAGCCTAAGACCTCAACACACCTAGATATTAATGCTAAGTAAGTAATGCTAGGCAACTAATAAATATCCTTTCTTTACACCTGCTATGAGTAATTCTCTTTTTTTTTTTTTGTGATAACCAGTGTGTGCTGCTGTTACACTTTCTCCTTGCAGACCTTGCTTGTGAGTGTCTCTAGCTGTTAAAGCTTCATATTTGGTTTTGCTTGTAATGCTGGAGGGTGGAGACTGAAGCAGAGTCCTGTTTTTGTGGGTCACTGTTAAGGAAACTTCCCTGTCCAACCATCCAAGAGCCAGCCACTCTGGCAGTCACACCTGCACCACCTGCACTAGGACCAAAGCCCCTTCGCACTGGGCAGCTCCAGTGAGCTCACAGGTGTCCCGCTTGACTCCCTACACACACCACACTCACACAGTCAGACCAAGTTTCCTTACCAACTCGACCCCAGGTTTCCCATAGCAGAGTCTCAGACATCCAGATGGTTCAAATAGTTTAATTTTGGTGCAATAACTAAATAACTAAGTAACAACTCAAGCTGGGTGCCTCTGAGGAGGGATCTCGAACAGAGGACACCCCCCCCCCCCAGACTTTTATATCCTCACAGGAAAATCTGGGGTCCTTGACTTCTGCTGTCTCTCAGTGTCCAGTCACCTGGCTTCATCCCAGGTCCCTGTGCCCTTTGTTGTGCAAAGGGTTGGTGCCAGTTCACAGCCCCTTGCCTCAGGCTCCAGCCACCCAGAGCTCAACCTGCAGCTCACACTGCAGCTGCACCTTGAGCTACCTACACCAAATGTATTCTTCAACAGTCACCAAGGTCCAAGGTGCCTCATTCTCTGTGGTGTACACCACAGGAGCATGGTTCTGAAACCACTTATCTATCTCTGTCTTGACCCTGCTAATATTGCTCAGCCTTTTATCTGTTTCCTGCAACTCGGTCACCTGATGCAAGAGATCATCAACCTATGAGCATCTTTTGCAGGTTCTTACCTTTTCTCCAGGATAAGGGCCTGGGCCCTCGTTGCAACCTTCCATCTGTACTGATGTCTCCTTCCTTACCAGTTCTGTCTGTGTGGAAGTGTTAGACATCTCGGGGGCTCTGTAGAAACACTGGTTTTAACTCTGGGGCAAGTGCTCACCATTATGGCAGAGACCTACAGCACTTCCCCGGGGCTCTGGGCCTACAAGCAGTGTGCACAGCCCTTCTCACACACACTGCACAAACTACTGCACCTTTTCAATCCCTGTTTGCATACCCTGTTTGTATTTTTCCATTTTATTTTTATGCATGTGTATCTATGTGTGTGTAGATAAATATATATATTTTTCCCCTAGGTTTAAGAAAAAAATATTTCTATGAGAGAGCAGGGGCAGTGAGTTTGATAGAGGGAATGGCTAAATTGAATTCCTTCTTCATGACACCTATGTTAGTGTAAAATTGAATCCGAAAGATGCTAGTATTAAGTTCTTATTTAAAAAATAAAAGTCAATCAAATGACATAGTTTGAAATTATGACATATCAGTTTTATACTTTATGAAAGAAGTAATGTTTTAAAAATAAAATAAATATTAATTTTTTGTAAGGTTTGGCCAAAGTACAGGAAAAACAGGGACATAGTCTGCACCTGGAAATATGTGACAGCTAGTGATTTGCCTTGGAATAAACTTATTCTCTTCTGGTTCTTGGACTACAGTGATCTCAGTGGTAGAAATAAATATATCAATTTTCTCTCTGATGTTTGGAAAAGTTGAGTTTTGGAGGTGGTTTTTGGGGTGAGTTTTGCTTATTTATTTAAGTGTAGGATTTAGGCATTTTTGGTGGCATTTTGTCACAGGGACTTGTCTGGTAGGTATTTTCTTGTGTCTCAAGGTTTCTTCTTGCTGAATTTTTTTCTTTTCATGTACCATCTTCCACAGTTCCTGTGACATTTACTTATGGCACTGTGCTATGCTGAGAAATGG